CAGTAAGTTATTTATTAAAAATTCCCACGTGTATAAAAAATATTATTTAAAATAAATAAATTACTAAATTTGTAATAAAGTCACGTGATTAAAAATTTTTTTTAGTTAATTAAAATGAAAATTAATTTTTTTAAGAATGTCTGAGAATTTTCGCTCATACGAAAAGACTGACAAATAAATAAATAAATAAAAAAAAAAAAAATTTTAGTATTTTTTTTGTATAATTTAAGAGTCATTAAGCCATTTATTTTTTAACTTTGTATTTAAAAAAAAAATTAATTAATTAATAAAAACATTGAAATAATTTGAGTTTAATTAAATTTTCAATTTATATTAATTTGAATCTTTAAAATTTATGTATGATTATTATTATCATTATAAAAAAATAAATCAATAGATAAATATTAATAAAATTATGCAAACATTTTTGTATTAACAAGTATTAATATTTAATAATAATAATAATAATAATAATAAAATTTTATTTTGTTATCATTACAAACTAATGACTAAACTAACTAATCTGAGAAAAAAAGATTTTTATATTTATTTTGCTCCGTAAAATTTAAATAATGTAAATAAATAATGCCATAATTATATACATTTTTATATAAATATATAAAAAATAAGTAAAAAAAATTTTTTTTTTGTAATTATTTCAATATTAGGTGTAAAAAAAAAAAAGTTATTCAACTTAATAATCATTCTTGTAATTATCTTTTATATGTAATAAAACAATTAATATGTTATTAATAATGTCATTATTTTAATAAAATTTTTAGGCTTTTATGTAAATTACAATCATTACTAACGAAAATTCGGAAACAAAGAAAGTTTTTTTTTTTTTTTATCGTTACGTAAAATTTTTTTTTTAAAATGGCCGACAAATATTTTCAATGTTGAAAGTTACAAACTCGTTTCAAACAACGCTTTTAATACATTTTGGACACCCTAAAGACACGTTAAGAAATTTAAGAATGTTGCTTTCTTAAACGAATCCGTTTTATACGAGCCGACAATTTAGAATGAGAATTCACAGTACTCATTACAATTACTATTCAACATTCTAGTTTGTTGTTTCATGTCACTCAGGTTAGTTTACAAGTTTGTTGCGGTTAAAAATTTTTTTTTTTGTTTAAAATATTATTAATTAAAAATAACGAAATAACGAAATAAACAATAATTAAAATATTGGAAAAAAGGAAGAAAAAAAAACGTACATCGAAAAGAAATAAATATTATATTAACGTAAGTAAATATATATATTTGAGGCATATATTTTCCAGCGCCTTGTATAAAAAAATTTTTTTTTCGTTTCGTTCGCATATGTATTTAATGTCCGCGTCAGGATAAATTATTATTTCGGTTTGTATTTTCACTTCAATTTGTGTATGGCGCATGTGCTTAGTAATTTTTAAACGAAAGTTCGTTGATTTATAAAAAGAGAAATACGGAAATTTTGTTTATAAAAAGATTTTAATCCTTGTTAAAAATAATTAGTAACGATGAGTAATATAAATCAAAAATTGAATCTATTATCCGATCATTATACGATGTATTCAAAGGGAAAAAACTTTACTTGGCAATTTAAAAAAAAAAAAAAAAAAAACTTTTTTTGAAAATAATTACAACAATATGATTTATTAAGTGAATATTTTTTTTAATTGGTTAATATTTCCTTAATTGATATTAATTTTAAAAAAAACTAAAAACTAAATTAAGTTGATTTAAAATTTTACATAAAGAATTTATAGTATTTAGGGGAATATATAAATACATAAAAAATTTAAGGTAATTAAATTTAATAATTTATTGAAAATATATAGAGATGTATTATTAAAATCAATTGTTAATAACATCAGATAGTCGTTATTTACTTATTAACATTCATCATTTACTACATATAAAATTTAAATTGAAAAATATTCAAAAATTTTAAATTATTTTTTATCGAATTCAAATTAAATTTATTTGAATTACATGAAATCATTTTATTACATACGTCCTTGAATATTGACATGGTTAGAGGAGCATTATTTTAAAATGATCTGTAAGTTATTTTAGATTTCATATATTTTTTTTTTTTTTTGCACTAATATTTGTTTGTTGTGTAATTTATTTCATAACTTTTTTTTTTTTACATAAATATTTTGGCCTAAAAAACATAATTTTACGTTTAACTATAAAAGTACAAACAATAAAAAAAAAATTTATTTTTTTTTAAGTAATTAAATTTTTATATAATAATTTTTTTTTTATTGATTAAAAGTATTATTATATTACATATTTAAAAAGAAAAAGGCATTTCATAAATGGTAGTAGTTTATCGTTTAAACAATTTTTTTTTATTTAATGCTATCAAATCGAGAATAATAATTAATTTGTACATTTTTTTTTGTTTAAATGATATTATTGCATAATATAGCCTTATGTGTAATAAAAATTTATTATGGTTTTAATAATAATAATAATAATGGTGTTAAATGAGTATTTTTTACTAAATTATTACAAATCGATTTGTAAATGTAATAATTTTTTATGTGCTCGCTTCAATTTTTTCCCTTTCCGAACTGAATAGTAACAACACATTTATTATTCAGTAATGGAGGGCATATAGAATTTTTTATCCCTTCATGTTTTTTTTTTTTTTTAACTGGAAAATTAAAAAAAAATTG